TTTTTTTTTTTTTTTTTTTTTTTTTTTTTTTTTTCAGGGATTATTATTTTTTCTATTTTCAATTATAATTTTGACTTGAAACGTACTATTTTTACAGAGACAGATGTGGGGGCGGCCACGGTTGTAAGTTAGCTGAAAGAAGGCAAATTAGGCTGTTCAGAGCCAAAGTTTGTTTCTTTTATTTAAATTTTGTTTAATGTGATGAGAAAAGAATGCTGGCTTAGGTGCATGGCTTCTCCATTTGTTTTGGCTTAGTCGAATTATTGACTTTTTTGTAATTCCTGTTTACAATCTTCAGAGGTAGGGTGTTAGACTATTGTTAACAAGTATCTAAGTCTTGTACTGCGTTTTTTGGGCAAAAAATGGTGCCACAAGGGCCTCCAACTCCTCTTGGGGGAGGACCCCAGCCTATTCAGCCTTCACTACTGCGTTCTAATTCGAGTTTGTTGGGTGGTCATGAAGGTGGGATGCCTTCCCAGAATTCTTTTGCGCCTCTAGGATTGCCACATACCCAGTTTAATAACATTAACATGCTTGGGAATGTGCCCAATCGATCTTTTGTTAATGGTGGTCTAAGTTCTGGGCTCTCTGGACTGGGGACCTCCCAACGGGGACTTATTGAAAGCGGTGCTGAGCCCGATCCACTTTCCAATGCTGGAAATGGGGTGGGATTTAATCCTCCTTCCACATCATATGCACCTTCTTCTATAACAACCAACCAAAATTCAACCAGTCAAGTTCAAGGGCAACAACAATTTGCAAACCTTTCTGGCAATCAGATGGTAATAGATCATCAACAGACCCAACAATTTGATCCGCAAAATTTTCAACAGAATCAGCATCAGTTACAGCAGTTTTCTGCTCCCAGCAACCCCCAACAACAGCAACAGCTTCCAACAATGCGAGCTGGACTAGGAGGCATTGGACCTGTCAAGCTGGAGCCACGAGTGATGAATGATCAAACACTTCAGCAGTTGCAGGTTTTGAGGAATCTTGGTACTGTAAAATTGGAGCCACAGCAGATGCAAGGTATCAGAAGCTTGCCACCTGCCAAGATGGAACCCCAACATTCAGACCAGTCATTGTTTTTACATCAGCAACAGCAACAGCAACAGCAGCTCCTCATGTCCAGACAGTCCTCTCAGGTGGCTACAGCTGCACAGATTCAGAGGCTGATGCAACTCCAACATCAGCAACAACCGCAACTGTTGAAGGCTAT